GAGAGGAGAGAAGATAGAGAGAGAACATAAGAGTGAAGATGAGAAGAAATGAGAGAGAGAGAAGAAAGAGAGAGAGAAGAAGAGAGAGAGTGGGATGATGAGATGAGAGAGAAAGAGAGAGAGAGAGAGATAGAGGAGAGGACAGGAAAAAGATCAGAATATATAAATCATAAATATATATATATATATATATATATATAAATATATATATATACATATATATATATACATATATATAAATATAAAAGTATACGTTATATATATATAGTATATATACACATGAGAGAGAGAGAAGACAATGAGGGAAGAGAGACGAGAGAGAGATGAGTAGGAGGAAGAGAGGAGAGGAGAGAGAGAGGGTGATAGAGAGATGATAGAGAGTGATAGAGAATAGGAGAGAATAAGAGAGAGAAGAGAGAGAAGAGAGAGAGAGACGAGCGAGAAGATGAGAGAGAAGAGAGAGAGAGAGAGAGAGAGAGATGAGAGAGAGAGAGAAAGAGAGAAGAGAGAGAGAGAGAGAGAGAGAGAGAGAGAGAGAGAGAGAGAAGAGAGGAGAGAGAGAGAGAGAGAGAGAGAAGAGAGAGACAGAAGAGAGAGAGAGAAGGAGAGAGAGAAGAGAGGAAGAGAAGAGAAAGAGAAAGAGAGAGAGAGAGAGAGAGGAAAGAGAGAGAGGAGACGAGAGAGAGAGAGAAATAGAGAGAGAGAGAGAGAGAGAGAAGAGAGAGAAGAGAGAGAGAAGAGAGAGAGAGGAGAGAGAGGATGAGAGCAGAGAGAGAGAGAAGAGAGCTACCGTGTATACCATGTAAGTTAAAAAAACAATTTAACTGAAGAAACAACACAATAAAAAATATACGTCCATGTCATGACAAATCAAGGTCTTTACTGATATAAACCCCATGACAGACAGTGTGCTTCGCTCTCTGATAGCATATCACCTGGTTTCCCTTAGGGATTTAAACCTTGTAATCTCACTCTACCTTTAACCTCGCCCCCCCCCCCCCCTTCTTCGATATCAACTTCCTCCACCTCCTTCCAAATGAAATTATTCTTTATCCCCAAGCTCCTACTTTTTAAAATAATACAGAGCGCACATTTATATAATCCGAATTCTTAAGTCTACCCGAGCATAAAATCGCGTTTTTAGGACTCATGTTTCCTGTGTGTGAAAAGAACCATCACCCGAGCGAATATCCTTAGATACTCGAACTGCATTCTTCTTGTGAAAATCTCGGTTTCGTTTTCTTCTTTTCTTCTTTTTTTTTTGTTCTTAAGAAAGTCCCAGATATTTGGATATCCGGTTTATTACTTAATTTAAAAAGACCAAGTTTTTTTTCCCGGGAGTCTAAGGAGGTCTGGCCACGGATGAGCATGGCGTGTGGTGCTTCCCGTGTGTGGGTGCGAACGCTGTGTAAGTCGTTTGATGATACTTAGTCGCTGTTTAAGAAAATTGGAATATCCATTCTTATTACTGTGTTTTACAGCTTTAATCAACGGTGAATTATGAGTAATATCGGTGGTAATTGTGATGATGTTAAATGTGGTAATATCGAAAACAAGAATTTATATGATACTGACAGTGATGGTAATACTAGTAATGGAAACTATGATGTTAATAGTGATAATGATGGTGTTAATAATGATGATGATGGTGGTGATGATAATGATGAGATGGTGAGATCATAATGATTTATGAATGCAGAATGATGAATTAAATAACAAAAAATATTCATAATAGTGAGGACGATAACATAGTAATGATAATAATGGTAGTAGTACTAGTAGAGATATACTGAAATAGTAGAGATACTGCTAATAGCAGTGATGATAATAATGATAATGATAATAATACAATAACAAAAACAATGGGAATGACAATAATAATAATACAATAACAATAATAATGGCAATGGGTAAAGATGAGTGATAGAAAAATGATAAAACAATAATAAAAATGACAGAAACATGATAATACCAACAAACCCCATCAGTGCAGAGGAAAAAAACAACCACCACCCTTACCACAAACAAATAAAACACACACAACATCACACAATCGAGTCAAGCAAAACCACATCCATCTCAGAAGCCACATAGTCCGCATGATACAACCCACAGTACTTGCGCGCAGTTCCGAACATCAGCAACAGTCCCTTCTCCTTTCCTATCGCTGTGTGCGGGATTTTACAGGTCGAGATAAGGCGCTTATCTAAGGGATGTCCTGCTCTCGAGTTGTGGAGGCGCTGTACTTTTTTTTTTTTTTTTTTTTTTTTTTTTTTTTTACTGACCTTTGTATTAGTATTGGTAGATTTTTTTTTATTGTTTTTATTAACGTGGTAGATTTTTTTTGTTTTTAATTAACGTTATCTTTATGCTATTAATTTTTCTGTTGTTCTTGTTCTTGTTATTGTTATTTATTGTTATCCTTATTGCTATCAGTTTCTATTGTTATTATTATTGTTCTTGTATTCTCATTACTATTATTATTATTATTATTATTATT